CAGCACCTCGGCTAAACTGCTGTCCCGTGAGCGAACCCCTTCGCGAAATACTTCCGCGAAACCACTGTTCGTGAATAATCGCGTCTGCTCGCTCGCCCGCCAACACCCTACCGAACTCCACCGCAACTCCTCCTGCGATGAACTTGCAAACTCCACTGGTCGAAAATCACCAAGCTCCTCTGTTCGCAAACGCTCCTGTTCGCGGTAACTGCACACGAACTCCTGTTCGCTAACTCCACATCGCCTAATGTCGCGAAGGTTCATGAACTGTCGCTCCTCGAAGTCGCGACGCCGGGCCCCCGCCGCTACCGCGAACTCCCCGAAGCATAACTCGCCGAACTGCCGCAACCCTTTATTCGAACTGCTTCGCATCTGTTTGTTCCCGCAGCCCGTCTGCCTTGCGAACAATTCACAAAATTTTATATTTTTCTGCATCGTAGCCAATATTTTCTTTCTCCAATAAAGACAATTCAGAAAATACTTCCAAATTTTCTTCTCTCAAGATTCTTTGTTGAGCCAGAAATTGTACTTTGATTCTGCCACAAATTCTTTTAAATAAACCCTTAATTAAGATTTCTTAATTAAGTTTCCCTTAATTAAGTTTACAAGAAAAATGATTTTCTCTTAATTAACTTTCTCAGAGAAGCAACAAAATCTTTCCAAAAAAGAATTGAAATATTTCCTTAATTAAATATTTCATTTAATTAACTGAATTTCAAATCCTTTCATTTCTTAAGCCTCCAACAAAAGAAATCTCACCTCCGCAGATCCAACAAAGAAAATTTTAATTAAGTTTTCTTAATTAATTATTTTCTTTAAATCAACTTAATTAAAAAACAACTTTCTTTTAATTAAGTAAAATTCAGAAACTTTCTTTTCTTCAGCGGGAAAAGAATTTATTGATTTCCTTCTTTTTTGCTTCTCTGCAGCGTTCAAAGAAAACAGATTGAACCAGCAAAGGAAACAAATGGGAAGATTCCTTCTAATTTCTCCAAGAGAACCTTCCTTTCACGAATGCGCCGAACCTTCCTTTACAAACTTACTTTTTAGATCCACGCACAAAAGGAAAGATTCCTTTCCTCCCTTCGGCCCAGCCGTCTTCCGCAAGAACCTTGCCGCAGCCAATTGCGACTTCTTGCAATTCGCGAATTCTCCTGTTGTACCGAAGCCGCGAAATAGCGAACTCTCCTGTTGTACCGCGAACTCGCGAACTCTTCTTCTTCTACTGCTGTATCGAAACTTTTTCTTCCATGCCCTCAAACCTCGCTCTGATACCACTTGTTGAGAAAATTAAGGGCGAAGAAAAACAGTAATCGACATAAATCCAGAAGAACACAGAGATTTAACGAGGTACGACGAAGATGCCTACGTCCTCGGGAGCAGAGCGGCGAGTCCCTTTTAATAATCAGAAAATGGTTTATAGAAATCAGGAATTCAGCTCTCTCACAAAAACCTAGAATTACAAACATGTCTATTTATAATCCTAGAGTAAACCCTACAGTACAATATGTAATTACCAAATTACCCCTGTACTGTATAGCAGGGCGTTGACCCAGCGCCCCCAACCCACATAACGTACACCCCCAACCCACATAACGTAACTTCCTGATTTGGACAGGCTTCGCCGCTTCGCTCCGCTCTGCTCTGCTTCGTTCCAGCGTCTGTCCCTATATGGTATATGAGCCATACCATAACACATATATTTCAGTATTTAAAAGTTAAAAATATAATGATTTTATTTGATATTAAAAATTTGGGTGATATGAATGTAGAAATTAAAATTTAGGTATTAGATATATAAATACATGGAAACGTATCTAAATGCCCCTAAATAAAATGAATATGATCAAGGGGGTAGTTGGCCATATTTAGAATGGAGAAGATGGCTCTCATTCACATACATCGAGATGGACATTCCTTCATAAGAAGAGCATAATCAGTTTCCTCTAAATTTTATTTATATATTTTTCATTTATATGAAATTTTAAACTCAAGATTACATTATTGTTTGTGATTTATAACATTCAAATTTTTATGGACAAAACTTTTTCAGTTTCATAAATATTTAATTAGTTATCATCTACGACTGTCAATTGCTTCAATAATTCAACTCGACAAAAAACAAAAAAAAATAATTTAGTCATTTTCGGTTGGGTTAAGGTTAAATTTTTAACCAGTTTAATTTTTTGGGTCGGGTTCGGTCTGATCCACCAACACAAAATTGACTCCAAATCAACCCTAATTTGACCCGAATATATGTTTTGTCTTATGTTAAACTAGTTACTTGGTTTGGTTTAGTTCGATGAGTGAAGTCGGGTTGGTTTGGGTTGGACTTTGATCCCTTTAATATTTGGGTCGGGTTCTTGTTAAGTAGCTTTAGGTCAGGTGTATTTTGAGTCAGACCTGAACTCAACCCACAAACTTGATTCACCAACTAATATTTATATAAGCACGTGTTAACTTTGATGTTAGCGAGCAAGTTAGAATGACTAATTTGGTCGGAGAATTATTGTTATTAAGATTAGAGTTATAAATTATAACTCGCTCTCTTAGCTTAACTTTTCAATTCAAACCATGGCATATGTATCATTAGTGTGGTTTATATGATTAATTTGAGCATTTAATTATTACATGTTAAAGTTCCAATTGTGCATTTCATTGTTAAATATATGAAACATTTGTGGTACACTTAAAAAAATTCAGTCTTAGGACTCTCTTGACCAACATACCCACCGAAGCAACACAATGAGAGGCTAGTCAGAAGAAGCAGACCAGAGAAGAATCGGGAATTACTTTAGCTCCCTTCTCCTATCAAAGTCACACCATCGAAAGTTTACATGGCTGAAGTGGGGGATGCCATTCAGAATAAATACTATTTCAAGAAGCCTTTCCCCATGAAAGAGCCATACACGCCCACGATTGAAATGATATTTTGCGTACCACTGAGATTACTATCATGACACAAAAGAGCATAGACATCTTTGTAATTTGATCGAAGAGCTAATCAAGGTGGAGAATTTGAAATAATTTGTGGCCCCAGAACCCATACTCAATGACCGGGTAAGACACCTGCTAAGGGCTGTAGTGATGAGCCAGTTTCGACAAGATTAATGCACATCACTAGAATCATATTAGCCATCTTCTGAGGAGACAGACCCAAGGCTTCAAAAAGGTCCAACATAAAGTGTTTAAGGATGAGGAAGGTTTGATTAGCTACTCAGATTAAGCGCGCTACATCAACCCATCCCCTATTACTTTTTTGGATGTCATCTGCCTATTGGTTGGAATCCTTTCAATGATGTACTTGTAGTTATAAAAATTATCAAGGATTATCAAATCGATAGCATCCTGATAAACAATGCTAGCTCTGTGAAAATCTTATTTACAGGAGCATTTGAAAGATGTGGAAAGTCATTAATCGA